ACCACACAACATGAATCAAACATGTACTTTATTTATTTACATTAAATATCAAAAGTACATCAAAATCGATTGAAGCTAAGGGCATACAAAAACTGTCCAACACCTGCCTCATAGTTGATACCTTCACTAAATGTTTTATAGGTTTTGTCAATTCCTTTCCATAATGAACAGCCAAAAGAATTGTTTGCCCACCTTGGATCCCCAATCCCTATTCCTGGATCCATACTTAGCTTCGATCACCCTTCTCCACAGACTGTTATGTTCCTCCCAATACCCCTAGAGCCATATTGGCTTCCTGTAGACTCCTTACTACAACATACCAATCCTTCCTTGGAGTGTAAACTTTTTTTTGACAAGTGGAGTGCAATTTTTTCTCCACTTAACTAAGTGGAATTTAAACTCCTCCCTCCACTCCTTCCACAAGAAATTCTGCATCTTCTTTTCAATTGTTTTTGTTATACAAGATAGGATTGGGAAAAGGGATAGCATGTTTATCCGCAAGCAAGTTAGCAGATTTATTATCAAGATTACATTTCATCCTTTTGATAGGTACTTAATTTTCCACCTTGCCAGTTTTCTATCCACTTGATCAATAATTTGGCTATGAATATTGACTAGGTATAATTTATTTACCTGTCTACTTTCACTTTACATGATCAGGAAAAAAATAAAAAAGAAAAAACAAACTGATTCATTTTAGCCTGTGCCTAGATCCTCCAACTCTTGACATTGGACGATGCTTGTAACTCATGCTTCAACATTATAAAATTGGTTATGTTTTGGATCAAAGAAAAGAATTCAGTCTAGTATTTATGGGAATAACTCACCAATTAATAGAAACAACAGAATGTGTGAAATTTCATTCATTAGTTTCAAAAAAAGGAAAAAGAAAATTTTATAGGTAAATATGTGTAGGGCAGAATAATGCTCACCAGACTTACAAAAACAGAATTGAATGCAATGTAAAAAAAAAAAAAAAGGAAAAGAAAAGAAAAACTATGACTTGAAAGCTTACCAATCCTATGGCTATGTAAGTTGAGAAATAATAATAGTGAATCCTAATCCTCCAACATCAAACCAAAAAACAAAAATGACGGATGGTTCCCAAAAAGTATAAAAATATCCATGAAGAAAAAATTTAATTCCTCAAGGTTTCCATCAAGAATGACCAACTGCTCGTTATTCTGTGCTGGTTAATGGAGTGGTTAGAGATTCTTTCCAGCTACTAGAGGACTGAGACAAGGGGATCCCCTCTCTCCCTTCCTCTTTACCTTGATAGCTGATGTTTTCAGTAGACTTATCTCGAGAGCAGGCACGCTGAATTTGATTAAAGGATGGAGGGTTGGAAGAGAGGGTGTTATTGTTACACACCTACAGTTTTCAAATGACACTGTCCACTTTTGTGAGATTGGAGACCTTATCATATCACCTTGGACAACCTGTAAAGAAGACCTAATCATAGTATCACCCCCAATTGGTGTGTTCTCTGCAAAGGAAATGAAGAAAGTTGTTCCATTTACTACTATCCTATCCTTTAGTTGTAGCTCTCTAGGAAAAGCTTTTTAGTCTTTTTGGATGCAGGTGAATAATGCCGATGCAGATTAGCAATCTATTTGAATCTTCAACTTTCAGGTGTCTTAAGAAAAGAGGTAGAATCCTGTGGGGGCGTGCTAGGGCTGCATTGGTTTGGACTGTCTGGGAGGAAAGAAATTCCAGAGTCTTTGATGAGAAGGAAAGGAATGAGGTCATTGTTTGGGAATGTTTAATTAATAGAGCCATCATTTGGGTGAAGACTTTGGAACTATATTCTCTACTCTCTTTTGATGATGTATGGAGAAATTGGGAAGCAGTTGCCAAAAGTTGTAGTGTGAGAACTAAACTGTCTGTAGAATGGAAACCTCCTCAAGAGAGTATTGTTAAACTCAACTTTGATGGTAACAGCTTAGGCAATCCGGAACCATCCAGTGTTGGAGGTATGTTTAGAAATGCAGAGGGGATAATTATCACTTTATATTCTCCTATAGGAGTAGGGGATTCGGTTAATGCAGAAACAAGCAGTGTTACAAGGAGCTGAATTTTCCAAAGATCTGAATTGTGAACAGCTTTTAATCGAAGGTGATTCCATGCTAGTGATCCAGTGGTTAAAAGAACCAGAAACAGCAGCTTGGTCCTATAAGGGGGCTTTACAAACATTCAAATGGCTAACTACAAGCATGTCAGTCTAGTCCCAATGGGAAAAAAGATCTGCAAATGGGTTAGCAAACTCACTAGCTAAACAAGGGATCCATAGGAATCAGATGTTTGGGACTAAATTGTAATTCTTTGTTTTAATCTGAGGCTGCATCTCGTGCGTCATTTTGGGAACTTTCTCTGTGTATCTAGTATGCTCCTAATCTTTTAATAAAATCATTCATTACTCATAAAAAAAAAAATTGATCATTTGATTTCTCCATCACTTTGTTTCAGGACTGTAATTAATTAGGCAAAGAATCAATACAAGTGAGATATATGGCTGATGTGGATGCACAAATCAATAAATGGCCAATCCAGAGGTTACCCCATCTGAAGGATGGTTGAGAGAAGCTAAAGGGTTCTCAATGTAGAAGAAGGGCATTTCCCCACTTGGCCCAATTAGGAAATTAGAAAGAAAGGAGAGAGAGAGAGAGAGAGAATTAAAACTATAAAAGGTTTACATAATCCAAACAGTAAACTGGAGATTTCAATAACATACCTGGATATCTTATCACCATTTTCACTGTAAGTTGTTAATATAACCACAGGTATACCTTCATTCAGTGCGTCATCAATAAAACTGCATATGAAATATGGTTAAGTATCAATATAAATGTTGGATGCTAAGAAAAAAGAAAACTAAATGAACATCAATAAGTATAAAAGATATTGAAAGGGAATGGTGCTGTATTGCAAATTTTACTGCATCAAGGTCAGCATCATCCATGGTTCACAATTTCAATATCAATGAACATTTTACAACATAGAGATGGATAACTTCTGGAGATTTTTCACTAAAAACAAAAAGAAAGTTTTCTAGAAACAAGAAATTAGTTAAGAATCATTAGAAGAAATATAATTGCACATTTAAGGCTAAAAACCTATAGAAAAGAATTCTATAAAGCAAACAGGAGAAAATTAAGAGACTTTAATGGGTATCTTTTTCTTTGTCTCCCTTTTAGTCTTTTAGTCATCTACTCTATTAGATATGTCAATTGCTTGCCATTTTGACTTTTTTTTGTGTCATTATATGTTTTGATTAGTTTGATAATACTCTTTTGTAGTTATATGCATTTTTCGTTTTCTTTTGAATTATAGTGACTTATTAAGTGAATCATATCAAAATAGTAAGCCAATTATCCAATCACCAATTCCCCGTTGGTTGTTTTAGGAAAATATTTTTAATAAAATTATGATGATTTTAATGAAATACCGGAATTAATAATATTCTAAAATATTGGAGATATTTGTAAAAAAAAGTCCTAGAAAGATTTCCATCACAACCTAGCTAAATGGGGATATTCCCGGGAAATTTCGCAAAATATTGTCGATATTGCAAACCATGGCATCATCTTCCCTTTGGCTACCTCCTAATGCATATGTCAAGCTCAAATTCAATGCAAGTAGTATGGGGAATCCAAGAAGGTCAAATGGGCTGATGGTTCTGTCATGGCTATATTTCTGAAACATATAGGACATGGGGACTCAACAAGGACAGAATTTTGGGCTGTTCTAGAATGACTATGGTCGGGGAAGGAAATAAGGATTAAAGGGATCATTGTGGAAGGAAACTCAAAGGTTGTAATGGAATGACTAAGAAATAAAGCACAAGCAACTTGGACATACAGATACACCTTAAGGGGAATCAGATCATTAGTAGAAGAATTGGACTTTACCTTTCCGTGGGTTCCTAGAAGTGCTAATAGTATGGCAAATGGTTTAGCAAGGCAAGGCAGTAAATTGAACAGAAATGTTTCAGGGTGAGGTTCCAGGGGGGATCCGATGTAGATATTTCAGTAGACAGAAAATGCCAATCTTCAAGGTTCCTATTGTAAACTTGCATATAATGTTTATATTCTAATAAAATTTGACTGTTGCTGATCAAAAGAAAACAAATCTTTAGTTCCCCCCCCCCCTCCCCCTTCTGTTTAGTTTGTTGTAAGCATGCAACATTAATCCTTCCATACCAAATAATATACTATTAAATTGTCCTATAAACTTTAAGAATCAAAACTACATAATAGAGTAAATTTGAGCAAAATTTAAACTCATAAAAAGTGCAAGTGGTTCTAATTAATGAACCAGAATATCTATTACTCAAACAAACGCTAAGATTTAACTTCAAGCCTAAAAAAGTTTCGATCTGACTCAAAGTGATAATAATGTCCATTAGGTGGACAAAAATATTATTACTCCATATGTCCACATTTTTGCCAACTTAATTTATAATACCATCTTGTGTACTCCACATAATGTTGATGGTTTTCCCCAGAGAATGTGTCAAGTTGAAAAACATTTTGTGCTAGTAACCATGGACAAGGTTCAAAATTTCGATGCATATGGACCATTAAGACATGGACTCATAGGATGGCTGAGGCCCAAGAAGCAAATATTAGACACTAATCAAGCCCATAACCTATTAAGTGATTCACTCTTTAATTAATGTGAACTGGGCCTAGTGGTCCCAATTCACTTCAAGTGAGTGAGAGGACCCAATAATAGTTCGATCTAATTGGTTTGGGATTTATACTTATTTCATGAGGATTATAGTAAGTATTAGTTTAAAGTCCTAAAAGATTACTGCTAATTACTATGAAACCTAGGGAACTACCATAGGATTTCTAATTTTTATTTAAAAGACTAATTGCCTAGTCAACTAGTTTCACCTTGGCACCTTGAAAACTATGCAGAAATATTTTCATTTTCTCTTAACCCCCTTCTGAAATTAAAATTCCATACAAGACCATGATCAAATGCAAATAAGCAGTGAGAAACAAAAAACATTTTATTGCTTGCCAAAGAAATAGGCCATGGAAACAATCCTTTAATGGCTCGTTACCTCACTAAGAATCCAATAAGAATTTCAACTTATCACCAAAAAATACTTCATAACATATGTACTCTATAAAAGATTGAGAAATGGGAATTATAGCTCTTCAAAGTGAAGCATGGGTAGCTCTAGCAAGCACACCCACATGCAGGGCCCAAGCTTTGACAGGTTGGGCTTGAGTTTTTGGGATCCAAGATGGGCATAGGCCTGACCTAAACTTGTGTTGGGCTTGGGTTGAGGCTTCAGGTAGCCTGGCCCAATCAAAGCCTGCCAAACATTGTATGTATGACACACACACATATGAAGATGTATATATTTGTACTATGATATGTTCATATGAATGTTAGTTACATATTTATACAATTATAGTTTCACATACAGCCTAGAGTATATTTAGATATTTAAAATATGTATGACTAGACTAAAATCACACCCATGCACAAACATGTATATACACACATATTTAGTTACTTATCTCTTAGTGCTTTGTGTTGGGTTATCTGGTTGGAGTAGAACAGCAGAAATTTTTCCCAATCGATCAGAAAGATAGAAGGATTGATTGGGAGGGTGAAGAGAAGCTTGATTGAATGGGCCAAGGGGCTAGAAGAGTTTAAAGAATGAACCAGCAGCAGATTACAAAAAAGTGGGAAAGAATTCTTTTTGTTGATGATGTAAATGGATGACTGGTGTAGGATGGGTAGAGATCCTACAAAATTAGGATCTAGTGGTGAATTTTGTGGGGTGAATGATGGTTGTGGCCTGTGGATGATCAGAGAAGAAGAATATGGAAGGAAAAGCAAGTAGAATATTTGCTGTTGGCATAAACAAAAAAGTTATACATCCCCTAGAAGAAGAAATTGAAAGAAAGGTAGGATCCATCGTATGGACGCCAAAAAGGTTACAGAATTGGTGGGCGAATTTCAAAAATATCCTACCTTTCTTCCAACTAGGAATCGTATTCCCTAATTTTAGAATCAAAATTCAAGGATCCTACTTGAACCAAACCAGACCAGATCTGAACCAAGAAACAAAGGAAGGGTTATACCTGATACGGAGAATGAAAATCTCCCAATGTCGGTTCACGCCCAAAGAGAGGTCCAAGATCCGCTCCTGCTGAAGACGACACAGCAATGGTGGAGCAGAATCAACAGTGTGCATCCAACACACCGAACTCTTCACACGAACTCGTTGGAAGCTTAGAGCACCGAAACAGATCAGCCTTTCAGCAAAGACTAATATCAAGAACTGATTTCTTGATCTTCCCTTCAATGGAGTTCGAACTATGCAGCAAGGTGGCGGCGGCTGGAGGAGATCCCAAAGGCTGAAGGTGGCGTGAATGCAATTTTCAGCTTAGGGATGACGAGATCCTATCTCAGTTTGCAAAGAACGTATCTGCTAAAACCATAGGTCGAATTCTTGTAATTCTTGAATAGGGGTTCGTCCTTTCTTAGTGATTAAGAAACCTCCTAATCCTATTAGGAGTTATCCAAATCCAAATCTGTATTTGGATAGGGGATAATCTTAATCCTATCTGCAGATTAGATCAACCCATTCCTGATCTCATCAGGAGGTTAATCCTATCTGCAGATTTGCCCCCTTAAGTGGGTGATCATATCAACCCAGTTCGAATGGGGCTTTTAGGCCCAATAAGTAATTAATGCTCAATAAGTTCCAAACTGCTGTCCAGTTGGGCTTTTTTGTATGGTGTAGGACCCAAGCATTGATCTCCACATCAGCCACATGGGTTCGGCCCAGCCTTTGTTACAAGGCCTAGCCAAATTCACTAGAAAGCCCAGTGAACCCCTTGATCCCATCACATGGACCCTATGGGCCCAACACTTACACTAAGTGGTCCTTGGGCCAAGCCATCTTATAAAAAACCAGGAACTGTGAGCAGATGCAAGATTAGCCCATCAGGTATTACCCTAAATGGCCTTACACTTAACCTCTCAGCCCATAATGATCAAGCACTGCCCGACAAGACTAGAAATCTGGTCTTACACCTAGTGCAATACCATAATTGGGTCTAGGGGTCAGGTGTAACTTTCCAGTTTTGCCCATCAATCTCCAAGGTCCAGGGCAATACTAGAAATTTGGTCCGGTTCAAGGGTTCAAGTAATCCTACACTACGTGTGCCTTGGGTCTCACCCTGGCGGCTGAGACAAGCCACCCCAACATTTGGTAGCACACCAGTATCAGCCTTGGCAAGATAAATCTCCCCAGACTTATCCAACGGCTGTGAACATTTAAAACTAACATGAGCCTCATTAAGTGTCCAGTTTTAGGGTCTTACACATGAGCCTCATTTAAAACTCACCCATCATATTCAGGTTACGCCAAGGTACCGTGAGAGAGTTCCCATTTTCTGGCGAAGCCCCTCCCACATCGGTCTATGACGCCCCTATCATCATATGAAACACTCTAACAGACCCAACAACAAATGGATATTCCAATTTTATGGTGCGTTTCCTCAATACTGAATGACCCATCATCATGCTAATGATAGAAGGCCTTTAGAGAGTCCATCATATGGATCTCCCTATCACATGCACTCATATTAGCTGGAGGGAACAAAATTACGCCCTAGTTAATCTAGGTCAAACCAGAGTAGCTCCTACTGACTTTCATAAAGTCAGATTTATGGTGGCCCATAACGGCTAGGGTTTCTGCACGCGACCCTTTTTCAGGGTTGTGGGGCCCACCATGAAAGGAAGGGGTCATCCAATGACCTTAAGGGACACCATGGCAAT